TGAGGGACGGCTGGGTATGGTGAGGGACGGCTGGGTATGGTGAGGGAAGCCCATAATCCCAGGCTGTGCATTAGGACCGGGCAGCCAGGGTTATAAAACAAGACCCTGTCTCAAACAAGACAAAACAAAAATGTCCAAAACTGTGAATATTTTAGAAACTACTGATTCTGCACTTTAGAAATTCTTCTTCAGTCCGGGCAGTGATGGCGCACGCCTTTAATCCCAGCACTTGGGAGGCAGAGGCAGGTGGATTTCTGAGTTCAAGGCCAGCCTGGTCTACAGAGTGAGTTCCAGGATAGCCAGAGCTACACAGAGAAACCCTGTCTCGAAAAAACAAAAAAAAGCAAAAACAAAAACAAAAAAAAAAGAAAAAAGAAAGAAAAGAAAAGAAATTCTTCTTCAAGCTTTAAAATGTGTGTGTGTGATGTGCAAGTGTCTACCCATGGAGGCAATTTAAAGGCATCAGAGCCTCTGGAGATGGAGTTACAGGCAGTTGTGAGCCACCTTATGTGGGTGCGGGGAACTGAATCTGGGTTCTCCCCAAGAGCAGCCAGTGTTCATAACCACTGAGACATCTCTCTAGCCTTAGAAGGGTTTTTTTTGTTGTTGGTAATGGTGGTGGTAGTGGGTTTTTTTGTTTGTTTGGTTTTTGTTTTTGTTTTGTCTTTCTTATTTGTTTTTGTTTGTGAGACTGTGTTTCTCTGTGTAACCCCGAATGTACTGGAACTTGCTCTGTAGACCAGGCTGGCCACAATCTCAGGGATCTGCTTGCCTCTGCCTCCTGAGTGCTGGGATTAAGGGGGTACACCACCATTACCTGGCTGAAATTAATTTTTAATAGCAACAAAATATATAAATAAAATTTACCATCATAATCTTTTTTAGTTGGACAGTTCTGTGACATCAAGTCCGATCGCTTGTTTGTGGAAGAGCCTTCTTCACCTCTGCTCCGTCCTCCCCACTTCAGCTTTGTACTCTCTAACCAACACCTCCCCTCCCCCACTCCCTACTTCCTGTTTAGACAATTGTTTTCAACTCTGTTCAGTATCTAAGGTGAAGGGAAAGAACCCTTGTCTTTTTGTGAATGACCTGTTTCCTTTGGCATAATATCTTCAAGGTTCATCCCTGTTGTAGCCTGTGACATTTTTTCCCTTCATTTTTTAAGGGTAAGTAATAGTCCATTATATGTATATCTATAGACAGACCTTCTCACTACTGAGAACTGGATGGATATATAAGTCATATCTCAATAAAATAAATAATAAATATATTTATATATTTTTGATATGTAATATATAGTATATAATATATATGTAATCTCAATATATAAGTCATATTTCAATAAAAGTTTCCAAAAGGTCACAGCTGCCTTGTAAAGAGTGTAAAGCATGCCTCTTCTCACACTTATCCTTTAAGTGTCTTCCCAAGCAAACTGGATGAAAGTGAGGCCAGAGAACAGGGTGGAGAATGAGGTCCAGAAGGCCTTACATGCAGGCTATGAAATTAGCATAGGAGAAAAACCTGCCAGCCAAGGCCAACTAGAAATGGCAGGAGCCACTGGTACAGCGTCAGAGATACTCCAGATTGTCTGAAGGTGACCTGTGGCTCGTGATACAAGTCATGTGATAAGCTGCACACACCCCTGGGTGGGGATTGAAGATCACTATCAGAACGTGTGATGCGTGAAGCAACTCGCAGAGTTAGGTGAACAGAGCGTGCTTAGAAAAGCCTATGCAAGCCAAGCGGTGGTGGCACACGCCTTTAATCCCAGCACTTGGGAGGCAGAGGCAGACGAATTTCTGAGTTCGAGGCCAGCCAGAGTGAGTTCCAGGACAGCCAGGGCTACACAGAGAAACCCTATCTCGAAAAACCAAAAAAAAAAACAAAAACAAAAAAAGAAAAAGAATAAAAGAAAAGCCTGTGCTATGCAAACGGCCCCCAAAGTCTCTGTTAGCAGACTAAAAGCGCGGTAATGCCTCGTACTGCGCAGCTGCTGTGTTTCTAAATGTCCTTACTCTGCCTTGCTCCATCCCTTGCAATGTGTCTAATAATCTCTCCCCCTCCCCGTTCTGTTCCCACCAGTTCATCTCTCTTGTCAACTCCTTGTTCTAAGACACCAGGACCTAGAACCCTTCTAGATGCACCCACCAAACCCAGATATTCACCCAGATCTAAAGAATTACTTGGCTTATACTGCCAAAATTCATCAGTCAGTAAGCCAGCCATGGGACCTGAGTTATTCCACCAGCACTCACATAAAAAAG